AGTTAAGGCCGGTTTCTTACTTATGAACCATGGATCTCTCCCGTGCTTTGTCGATGTGGGATTCACCTAAGGTGTTACAAGCTGTTTTTGGACTGTTTGTTGGCAGCTTACTTGTGCTTGAAGAAAGAGAGTTTGAGCTCGAATTTTGTAACCTTTTTAGGGTAGACTTTTAATTTAATTGTTCCTTGTTCATCTAGGTTTGTATTAGGTTTTATTGACTATAAATAACCTTCTATTTTTGTTTTAGAAAAAGAAGACTTTTGATTAATCGAAAAGAAACCGTTTAGTTTGTTCAAGTTTGCAAACTTGTTTTGGGTTTGGTGGATTCCAAACTTGCTGAGCTTGTGTATCGATTTAATAGTCCCTTCAATCGTGGTCGAGCAACTACTCTTTTATACCATACGAGCTTTCCCCTGGTGTGGAATTGTCCGTTGGTTCCGTTTTATCCCAATTTCGTATTAAGAACGCGTTGTTCTTGATTCGAGTTCAATCAATCTTTGGATTGATTGTTTGCTGTGTTACTTTGATAACATACAACCCCCCAAGGTCGTATTAGAGGATGCTTGCTAGCGGTGGCGACGATGACGTGATTGATGAGGGGAGTAGGGTTGGGCTAGCGGCGGTGGCGGCAACGACTCGATTGATGAGGAGATGAGGGTTGGGATAGCACTGGCGGCGGTAGGGGCGCCATCTTGATGAAGGTCGAAAGGGAGCTGGGGAGTGGGGAGGCGGCAGCGGTAGTGTGGGTGTATGGCTGTGTGCATGGGAAGGGAAGTAGATTAGGGTTGGGGTTGGGGAGTGGGATTGTGGGTTTTGTTGTAAGTGTTTTAATTGTGGGCTTGTATGTTAGTGTGTAAGAATGGGCAGTGGTCTTGGCTTGGGATTGTGGGCTGCTAGTGTGAGAGGGTGAGGAAGTTCGGTTGGTCGGTTCGAAATTTGGAAATTCGGTTTGGTCAACAAAACCCTAGTTTCCGAATTAGGCAAATTTGCCTTCCAATTTCGGAACCGAAATAGATTAGTTTGGGTTTGATTTGTTTCGGTCCGGTCTGGTTCGGGTTTACCGAACTGGATGCTCACCCCTATCTGTTAGTGGGTCGAAGGGGTCAAGTGGGTGAAGGCTGAAAAGGAGGGAAAGAAGCTAGATCCAATGAGTGGGTTGTAGTAATTGGTTGGTAGTCGTTTGCTAGTTCAGCCTACTGCATTCTCAGTGGCCCTAAAGTGAAGGGAGTTGGGGCTAGCTGCCAAGGCATGACTTTCCAAGCTAAATCCACCGACAACGCAGAAATAAAGCAAAGCCAAGTAGTTATTGTTGTAGGTGTTGGAAAAGTGAAAGAAGCTGAGACTTTGGAGGTCGCGACATCAACGACCTTCTTTTGTTTTGCAAGATTTGGCTAGCACAATGGAGGTTGTCAAGGTGGCGACATGTTAGTTTCAAATAAATGAATATTGATCTTACACATAGTTTTAGGATGGGAGCTTTTGACGCAGATGATATGAATTATAGGAAGCGATCAACACACGTGGTGGTGGACTTGGTGCAAAATCTCACCCCCACCAAAGAAGTTAGACGAGAGTTCTGGAATAGATGGTAGTGTTTTGATGGAGGTAGCCACACGAGAGTGGTATCAGATGCCCAAATGAGACTTTTGCCTGGAATGTAAGCAAATTGGACCATCCCTCACATTTGGGTCCTTGTTATGTATTGTTTATTCTAATAATCCTGACCATGTTTCCGTATCAGAAACTTGATCGTGTTGGAAATTAATATATCTATTTATAAAACTGATTGTTAGTATGTGATGGTGTGTGTTTATTAGTTGTGATGTGAATGTTTGTCGTGGCGAATTAGATGTATTGCATATTCATTGCATTGGTATTTCGGTGTCATATATTGTAATTGGGGATTTTAATTCTATTTTGAGATCCAATAAGAAATCTGGTGGTAATGCCTAAGCACCAGCCCTTTCGGAAGATTTTCAAACCTTTGTCAACGTACTGGTTCTCTAGGATATTGGGTTCCACGCGAACCAAACATCCTCTACAATGCCTTTTGAGTGAACCACGGACCTATTGTCTAATGTCACACTCAACTTAGTGGTATTTAGTTCCCCTAGGTTTAAATTTTGATAAAACTTAAAAGGCACAACATTAATGCTCAGTCCTAGATCTGCCAAGGATTTACTATATGAAATACACCAATGCACAAGGTAATAGTGAAACTCCCTGGATCCTGTTGCTTCTGAGGAAGCTTGTTCTGAAAGATTATGGAGCACTCCTCGGTCAAGGTGACTAAGGTGAGGTCTTCAAACTTTCGCTTCTTGGCGAGAAGCTCCTTGAGGAACTTGACTTACTTTGGCATATGAGCTAAAGCCTCCAAGAATGGGACGGAGACATGGAGCTTCTTGAGAATCCCCATAAACTCAACCAAATTTTGCCTCTAAATGGTCCTTGTGAACTCTTGAAGGGAAAGGAAGTGGAGGCTTGTAGTCAACCACCAGATGTGCCATCGGCGGTTTCTTCCTAGCCTCATCTGCTTTTGCCTCCTTAGATTGTTGCTCGATTATCGTTGGAGGGACTTCTTCTTGTTCTACCTTCCTCGGTTCAGCCTCTTGAGTCACCTTACCACTTCTAAGAAAAAGATCGGTATGTGAGGACTTCGACGAGATTACTGATTTGGATCTCCAAGTTTTGGAGAATTGTTTGATGCCTTCTTAGCCTCGCCTCAACCGAGGAAAATTTGCTTGTAACTACTTCCATATACTTCTCAATCTTGTCAAACTTTCGAGAACTCGAACTCACAAAGGTGGCCACAAAATCTTCAAGCTTGGAGATATTGTCATTTTGTTGTTGGTGTTGTTGATACCCTTGCACTCCTTGCGGTTGATATTGTTGTGATTGAAATTTTGTGGCTTCGAATTACGTCATTGGATGAGAAAATGGGGGTCTTGGTTGATACCCATCGGCAGGGCCTTGGAAACCCAGTGGCCTCGAAATTGTAGGTGATGCCCAAGAAAAGTTTGGATGGTTGCGCCACCCTGAGTTGTATATGTTGCTATAGGGTTTGTTGTTTTCCCCCCTAGCATTTGAGATAAATTGACTTGCTTTTCTCGGGTTAGTGGTTTCCATCATAATTTGGCACTCCTCCAACACGTGGTTGGGGCTTGAACACCATTCCCATACCATCACTTGGCTCTTCCCTTGACTTCTATACTTCTATACTTCTAATCTTTGCTTTAAGTGAAGGGCTTGCCTCGATTGCGTGCACTCATTTCTCTCGAGTTCGTCTTCCTCTCTTCGTTATGCCCAATTGTACCCCCTATGTTGTCGTCTCTTTGAATAACTTTGTCCTTTGTGGGGGTGTCTTGTTGAGCATTTTCCCTTGACACAAGGAATCGATGAGCATACGATCTTCTTGGAAGATACCATTATCAAATTATCCTATTTTGAAATCTTCCAGCCTTCCAAGATAATGGTTTTTTGAAGAAAGATCACCCACTTTACTAGCTACTCAAGAGAGGGATGAAACCTTAAGGGATGCTTGGGAGCTTATTCTTTTCAATTAAGTTTCTTCACTCTCCACTCGATAACATCAACTTCATTCTACACAATTAGAAAGAAAAAATTAGACATATCTCCACAAACATAAATAAGATTTGTTGTTTAGAATATTAAATATACCTAGAAAATTAATAATATGAGTGTGGGTCGGGTTTACCTAAACCCAAACCCAACCCAAACCGGTGAATAGTGAACGGGTTTAAACCCAAACCCGACCCAAAACCCGTCAACACGGATTTTACCAGCGTTGACCGAGTTGGATCGGGTGGGTATCCATGGGTTCGGGTTTTGTTGCCATCCCTACTCTGAAGCACTTCAACCTCTGCATTTCTTTTTAAAAACTCAAGAGCATACCCTTACTGACTAAGTAGACGTGAGAGGTTTGGAGGAAATACTATTTAGCTACCCATCAGGTAAATTCCATCCTTGTTCTACAGCCGTATATTTTATGGGTACCCTGCCAGTTCTGGATTGGGAATATAATTTTTTTTTATAAGGATGATATAATTTTTATTAACAAAAAAGGAAAGGGAAGAAACAACAGTGGCACAACAGAAACACAAACAAAAACCAAAGAGGGAGAAAACAAAACAAAACCCACCCAGAAACTAAAACCCATTCAAAAAACCAGACAAGCCAAAACACAAAAGCAGGGCTGGAAAAAAGGATCCGCCACCTGCACCAGAAAGTCAGAACCAATTCCAAGTAGCAAACACAGACACTAGCAGGACAGCTGCCAAAAGAGAAGTCAAGCTGTCACGCTAGAAAGCTACAAGTCCGGGTTCGCAGGCGAAGAAGAGACAGCAGGGGATTGTAATCTCGCTTTCATCTCGTTGATCCAAAGATCCGCAACTCCTTTATCGACCTTTTTGGCCGCCACCAACCACCAGTATATTGCATGGCCAATCTTCATCACAATCGAAAGTTTCCGGCCTTCCTCTTCTCTAAAGATTCTAGAGTTTCTTTCTAGCCAAATATGCCAACAGAAAGCATGAAGGGCCACTTTCGAACACCATTCTGCAGGATTTGTAGGTTTGGTGTATTGCCAAAGTTTGATTTTCTTCGCAATGTCACCAACTTCTTCACCTCTTTCCTCCGTCTTCACGAAGCATTTCAGAGTGCTCCAGACCCGCCTTGAGAAGACGCAGTTGATGAAGATATGGTTTGGGGACTCCTCTTCATTCTTGCAGAGCACACATCTGTTTGGAAGGCAGAGTCCTTTTCTCTTCAGGTTGTCAATAGTGAGTATCCTTTTGTGGAAAACCAGCCAAAGGAATATACAAATCTTGCTTGGGGACTCCTTTGGGAATATAATTGGGCGACAGCTCTATAGATAAAGAGGTTCATCACGGGGAAAAGACACAGAAACTAGCAGAGGGAGTTATTGAGAAATAAAGGGAGTATAGGAAACTAGTTCCCAAGCCTTCAAGACTCGATCAAATTTGGAGGATCGCTCGATTTCAAGAAGAATTCTTCTTCTATTGCAATTATGTTTTCATCTATTATCATGTGTAACTAAACCTCCAGTTGTAGAAAGTACCTTTCGTCACTGTGAACAACTCTTAGTACTTATCTTCTTGCTACCTTTGATCTGTTAAGCTAGATTGAAATTAAGTGGACCTTAAACCACAAACTTGTATTTGAACATAAGCTGCATTCCTTGAGTAATACTAATACAACTAGGGAAACCCATGGGAATACAACCTCAAAATATCACTTGCCCAATCATTGTTGTATATGTTCACGCCAGGCATATGATATGCTTCCAAAAGAAGAGAAAACATTCTGCCTCTTGCTCCTTGGCTCTTCCTTCAAACCTCATGAGGGATGGCTTCTTCAGCTTGCCCATGCTCTGCCCTGCAACTTGATCCATATTCCATGCCCCCACAGCCTGTTGCCTGGTTACACTAACATTGCGCTCGCTTCTCTGTTTCCTTCTTCGATTTCCTCTTTGCTCTCTTCCTGGGAACAAAAATCCGTTGCACCAAATGTTTAGGCTAATTGGTTCAAATCACATGAATAAGGGCAGGAGACTTGAGATCATATTTCAGTTCTAGCAGTTGGCACTGTAAATTCTCTTTGTTTGGTTCTTAATTCTTATAATATGCAATTTAGTGTGAGAATATACAGGATAATGTATGAATACCTCAAACCTTTGGTGGTCTGGCTACTCGAGCCGAACACACCCTTCATCAGCGAGTTCATATCCACACCGCGATCCTGCATAAGTTTATCGTGGTAGATTTTGCTCCCTATCTCACTGATCTCTTCCTCCACCTCCTCCAATGGTTGGTCTATATTCAGCTGCAGCTGTCCTTTCCTGATGACAGTAACACTGAATCCATTTGCTTTGGCTTCCCTGAAGGTGTCCTGACAGAATAGAACAAACAAAACAATCAAGTAGAGAACATCAAGATGTGATTCACTAAACTCGAAGTTTGTTAGGTCAGAAAGTGAACACTGCCTTGCTTAAACCCATGTCCCAATCTTAAACCACAAGATGGTGGAGTGGTGATCTTCCCAAGTGGGACAACATTCTAAAGGGTTCATAACTCATCGTTTGTCTTTCTCGCTAAACCGCAGACAAAAGAACAGACTGGAAGAGAACCCAAATATACTTAGTTACCTTGGGCGGTCTGGGAACAACAAAAGCATGGCCGTTTCCTAGCATTTCCAAGTGTGCCTGAATTATGTAACAGAGGTTCTTGCAATCATGAGCATCCTCGAAAGCAATCACATGACATGGTTTAGGATCCAGCTCGAGATCCACACCCATCTCTAATGAATAAAATCCAGTTTTCTGCTCTCCATTTTCGGTTGTGTATAACTCAATGCACTGCGAAAGAGATTCAATTCTCTGTCAGCAAACAAATACACAATCGTTCCACAAAAATAAAAAATCTGATACGATGACATGTGCTTAATTGATAACACAGCAGATAAAGCCTATCTTTATCGCACCAGACCTAAAGAGAATTCATAACACATTCATAATGTTGAAAATATAACCGACTAAACCCGGAAATCTAACATGCAAAATATAGAACGAGTTTACAAGCCCGTGGAAGATCAATTCTGATCAATCAGTGGGTAATTCCGTAATTGGTATACTCACGAGAACATGTGGAAGATCAAGCCACCATAAGAAATCCTCTTCCTTATCCTCAGCATACTCCCGATACTTGCTAACCACAGCTTGTGGTCCAAACAGTTCCATTTCTCTTTTCAACTTATTGATCTTCTTTTCCAGGAACTCCTTATTTCTCTCGGGCAACTTGGTCATCATATCTGCTGCTTCCTGAATTTCTTCTTCAGTGATCCATCTGTCTAGATCCTTTCCAATATCCTTCATAACAGATTTAGTTTCTGGATCTGGCTCTGCATTATAACATTCTAGGAATCCCCGAGACCATTTCTTTGTGTGTTGCCAGAACTCCTTACCTGATTTTTGACCAGGTCTAGTGGAGCCATCACTACCTTCTATAACGATTCTAGATGCTTTTGGATCCTTCTCGTTGATATGCTTTCTTAATACGTGGTTTGCTGAAGAAGGTTTAATATTCTTGGCCAGCCGAGATTCTGAGAATTTATCAAGTTCTTTACCATTTACAAAATGGTAAGACCTATCATCTTCTCCATTTAGAACAGTGTCCCTTTGTTTTTGAATTACGTCTTCAAGAAACTCAAGGTTTTTTTCCGTTGGAGGCCCTTTCCAGCGTGGTATGATCTTTTCTGCTTGATCATACAGGCTGATGCCATCTATAAGACCACATGAAAAAGAAGGGAAAAAAATCGAGTCAGCTCTATAATTAACTCCATAATGCTTCATGCTACTTGAGTGCATGCTCACATGTACAGATGCATGACACAATAATCCGAAGTCATTTAGAGCTAACTGATAATATTTCCAGAGAAGTCAGTGGAAAATGACCGACTTACCACAGCTATGCCATAATGTATCTAAACTAAGGAATAGTTTGTCAGATGTAGATAACAGAATCCAGTAAGAAGCTTACAGAAAGCTACTTCTTTTCTTCAATACATGATGCTCAATAAAATTACCATGGGGGAAAAAAAACCCTTATCCGATTGTGTAGGTAAAACAGTGATGAACGTAGTATATTACCTGCTCCGTAATCAAGATTTTCAATGTTTGCATGTAGATAGACGTGCACTTTAAGCAGCTTTTCATTCTCTCTCTCAACCTTTTTCTTAAGTCCTTCAAAAAAATTATGCTTGTCTTCCGGTTCCATCATGTAAAATGGATCACGACCAGACAACTCATTTTCTCGAACTCGAAAAACTATATCTCTAAGCGCATCATCTTTCATCCAGTAAAGTTCACCATCGTCGTCTTTGTACTCAAGCTTTAATAAATCAAGACTTGTATTTGTGTTCTGGTTTGCAGTTTCCCTAGCTACCTTAAAACTATCTCTAAAGCCATCCCCAATCATCTTAAATATCGGCTCTACTTCATTGCTATTTTCCTCCACCCAATTTGCCACTTCTTCAGCCTGTCTACCAACCATGTCATTGCCACTCGCATCATCATTTGAGAAAGAAGTAGACAGTGCTGATGCTTTTATATGCATGTCGGGTAATTGGCTTCTTTTGCCAATAGGCATATTATCATGAGACATGCTCAATGAAGCAGCCTGAGAGTCTTGGACATTCTTGGATCTTCTGTTAGAAAGGAACTCTCTAGCTTCTTGTACCGACCTTATAAGCTTTGGTTTTGGTGCAGTAGATTGACTTGACAAAGATGATTCGTTATTAGTACCCAGAGTTGATTCCATATCATCCCCATTGACCATACCTTGCCAGTTATCCGAAACATCTTGCATTGACTTGCTCCAATCAATAGGTTCTATGTGTAAACTATCATCTTTATCAGCTTCAAGATCATCTAATGATTCCCTCATTCTAAGCTCACTAGAAGTGGAATCTTGAGATTGGAACGATTCGATGTCCAAATTCTGGTTACCTTTCTCAATCTTTTCATCCATGGATTGCTCCTCCCTCTCAATTTTACGGGCTTTCCTTGCCATGGCTCTGATTTGCTGAATTCTTGGATCAAATTCTACAGACTTCATAGTTTGGGAACTAGAAGCTTCTGGAGCTGTCAATCTACCTTTCCCAACATTCGATTCATATATATTCTTCATAAGTTGTTGCTTATCCAGCTTAGGCCTCTCAACTGCCAATATCTGCACCTTCTCCAAACCTTCATCGACAACCTCCATTCCACTCCCTTCCAATGCTTCTTTCTCCTTTCTCCACTTCATCTTTCTCCTCATCATTTCCTTCTCCAACTCCGAGTGTTTTACCTCCTTGTTCTCGGAGTGCAATAATCTTTTCAGTGCCCAGGCTGCAACTAAACTAAACAAAACCAATTTGCCAACCCTTGAGAGTATGGGGAAAAACCGAGGGTGGGCGACTACATCCTGAATTGTGCTTCGGAAACTAGATTCTCCACCTAAAGCAACAAATTTAGCTACCGAACTATTCTTCTGAATCACAATTCTCCCTCTTTCCATATCCATAGCTAATTCCTTAGCATACGAGATTTTCGACTGCACTTGAGCTGAACTCTCGAGCTCATTGCTCGCAATCTTGCTTCTCTCCAGTATCTCATTTTCATCAACTGAAACCCGCCTTACCTTGCCATCTATATCATGAAAAACAGTGAAAATTGGACTAGACCCAACACCCCAATAAGCGGAATCGAGCTTATGCTGATCAATCCAATTCTTCAGCCGTGATAACGGAACAGAAATCCCAAATTTGTCAACTTTCGGTTTCAACTCATTCCTAACAACATTTTCCACAGTAACATAGTCCGTCCCTTGTTCTTCATCAAGAGCTAAACTTTCCTTAGAATTTCCTAAATTTAGAGGTGGGTTCTGGCTATCAGAGAACGAAGGAGCGGAAATTGAGGTCAATTGCCTAACCTGTTGGTCATCACCGTTGAGCTTTTTCCGGAGCGAGTTTCTGCGGCGGGGGGGGCGACCGAAATGGGCTGAAACGCGGAGATTCCTAGAGCTAGGTAACAAGGGTGAACGGCTTGGATTTCTAGAGATGAAGAAGGCATGGAATTTGGAACGGGAATTTGGGAGTAAGAGTTTGAAAGAGGAGAAAGAATGGTCCGGTGGAAATGTTCGTGGAGGATTGAGGAGCTCCATCTCCGGCGTCGGACAGAAGTTGAGTTTCAACATCTTACCACAAGGATTTTGGAAGCGCTCAGCAGCCTGTTTTAGCGGGATGTACTTATACCTGGGATTTTTTTCCCAAATACACATGTTTTTTCTAAAAAAAAGTGACAAAATACATACGTTTTGTTAAAAAAATTTCAATCTACACATATTTCGCCAATTTCGCTGTAATTAAATGCGGTGAACACTGAAAAAAAGTTCAAAATGAACTTTTAATAGAATTGAGGTTCAAAAAGAAACAACCAACTATAGATTCGTATTTTTTTTAGATTATGCTAGTTATATTGTTTTTTATGAATTATAGTTTTACAATTATTACTTTATAGAATTAAAAATAAATTTATTTATGTAGGTTGTTTCTAAAAAATATTATCTTATTATTTTATTAAATTTGCTCATTTTTTACATTGGCTAAAGTCGGGACAGGAAAAACTATTAATTTATAAAATATTAATAATTTATAAAATATTAATAATTTATAATCTAAATTATTAATTTATAGAGGTTTTACTGTATGTAGAATCTGATAAACTATTGTATAAACTTGAAATATATAAAAGATACGATGAGTATTTATACCCAAAGTAATTGTGTGTGAATTTGGACGATTAAGATAATACATTGAACCTTAAAAGTTAAGTTTATTATAATGAATCTTACCTTGTAATCGACAGGTGTTTGACAACCCGTAGATTCCAGGTAATTTGTTTCATATAACAACTCTAGGGAGTATTTCCTCTGACAAACACTTATACCACTTGCATTCCTATTGATCTCCAGACCAAGGAAGTACTTCAAAGGACCAAGAAGTTTCATTTTAAACTCTTGGCTCATAACCTTTTTGACTTGTTCTATATCCTTCAAAGCATCCCTTCCTATTATGATGTCATCAACATAGATGAGCATCACCACAATCCTGCCTCGAACCCACTTTGTGAACAATGAATAGTCAGATGCAAATTGACTAAAACCATTCTTCAGAAGAAAAGTACTTAACCTGGCAAACCACTGTCTGGAAGCCCGCTTCAGGCCATACAACGGTTTCTTCAACCTGCAAACCATTCTCTGTGATCCAGGATGTTCCAAATCCAAACCTGGTGGCAGTTGCATATAGACTTCTTCATTTAAGTCTCCATGAAGAGAATCATTGGAAACATCCATCTACTCCAATGTCAAATTTTTCACAGAAGCAATTGCCAGAAGAGCTTGCACTTAGTTTATTTTGGCCACTTGAGAGAAAGTGTCTAGGAAATCAATTCCATAGACTTGTGTGTATCCCTTAGCTGCCAACCTGGACTTGAATCTCTCAATAGATCCATCTGGCTTGAGTTTTATTTTATAAACCCACTTGTTACCAATTACCTTTTCCCCTGCTGACAATGAAATTATGTCCCAGGTTTGGTTTTCTTCCAATGAGTTCCATTCTTCTCTCATGGCTCTCCTCCAATGTTCATGCTTAATTGCTTCTTGGTAGGTTAGAGGCTCTTCCTGTTGGATTACACTCAAAGCATATAGTTTGTCTTCAGCATTGAGGTGGTCGACATTTAGAGCCACTGAATATTTGTTTGTAGCTACTGCTGTATGACTACCAAAACCTCCAAATTGCAATGTTGGATCCAATTCATAGTTATCATATTTGATAGGAAAGTGATAACTCCTCTTAGGTCTTCAAATGGTTCATAATCTTGTTGAGGCTCCAGTTCTAGCTCAAGTTCAATTACTTCTTGTTCTTCATGATCTACCACCTCATCCGCCTCTTTACCGATGGCCAATTCAGGAGATGGTGGAGGCCGAGGATGTGAAGTAGAAGAGATAGGAATGACCAGATCAGGAGGAGGATTGGAATCAACAGGTAGATCAACATGGATATGATTAGGAGGTGGAGATGTGGGAGTATTGTCTGCTCTGAAGGGAAGGATGGACTCATAAAGCACAACATCCCTGGAGATGAGTACCTTCTTGGTGTTGATGTCAAACAACTTGTACCCTTTTATCCCATGAGGTATTCCCAATAAAACACATTGTCTGGATCTAGGTGCAAACTTGGTTCTGCTAGCTGTAGGAGTACCAGCATAAACCAAGCTACCAAATACCCTCAGATTGCCAAAGAAAGGAGGTTTGTGGTATAAGACTTCATAGGGAGATAGATTGTGGAGAATTGGTGTAGGCATTCTATTTATAAGATAGACATAATGCAGTATGCAATCACTCTAGTATTGTAATGAGATGCCATATTGGAACCTGAGGGACCTAACAACATTCAATATGTGTTGGTGTTTTCGTTCTACCCTAGCATTCTATTCAGGAGTGTATACACAGGACATTTGGTGCTCAATTCCCTCAGCCATGAAAAACTCACACATATCAAATTTCTTTCCTTGATCACTTCTAACAATCTGGATTTGTACTATTGAATTGATTTTTAACAAGAAGGCAAAATTTCTTACAGAGATCCTGGTTTCACTCTTATGGTGCATTAGATAAACCCAAACGGCCCTTGAACAATCATCCACAATGGTAAGAAAGTAATTGTATCCATCATAAGAAATGACTGACAAAGGACCCCAAATATCAACATGAACAAGTTGAAAAGGCTTGAATGCATTAGTAGTGCTAACATGAAAGGGTAGTCTTTTGTGTTTGGAGAAATGACAAATGTTACAATGATCTACTTTGGAACTGGTTATAGAAGGATCAATGTGCTACAACAAACTAAGTCTATTATTGTTGGGGTGTCCTAATTTCCAATGCCACAAATCTACTTGTTGAGTATTGAAGTTGAAAACACTAGCTGCTTGACTTTGCTGGTGGTCTGATTTGAGAAGGTAAGCTGGTAAAGTCCCTTAATTTCTCTTGCTAAAACAATCGTCCTCTTATTTAGAAGGTCCTGAATTTGGAAAATATCAAAATTAAAGTGTAATGAAAGAGGAAATTCATGTGTAAGTCTGCTGACTGAAACTAGATTGAAGGAGAAGTTGGGCACTAGGAGCACATTGTAAAGGAAAAAACCAAATGGTAACTTGACAGTACCTATGTGACTCACTAAGACTTTGGAAGAATTTGGTAAATAAACAAAGATGTCATGTACCTTCCTATACTCGGTAAACATATCTATGGAGCAAGCTATTCGGTCAAAAGCTGTTGTGTCTAATATCCATAAGCTATCAGGTTGGAGACCACTAAATTGAATAGCTGAGGATAAAACATATTTACTTGAGTAGTTTGGGAATGGGGTAGGTATTGAGAAACAGAATAGGCTTGGTGTTGAATGGAATGTGAGTTTGGGTGTGATGGTGAGGTATGGACAGTGTTAGAGTATTAGCCCAAAAAGGTTGGTATTTCTAGTGGTATTAGCCCAAAAATTTAACCAAACCAATTATCCAAATTAACCACCAACTTATCCAAATGCTACCGATTAAAACGGTTACCACTTCGTTTGAACACCCCTACTAGACACCCATCAATATAAGCCCTCCAAATATGGATGGCAAAAATATCTGTAACCATGGATATTCGCCCGAATCCGGACTAATCGGGTAGGATAAAACCCGAACCCGAAGGACATTTAGTGGGTACGGGTAAAACCCGAACCCGAATATTACGGGTAATGGGTGAGCATGGGTTTCTCACTATCCAACCCGAACCCGCCCGATTATACACATGCATATGTATTTTGTCTAGAAATAATCATTATTTTTCTCTAACATATTTTATATTTAACATATAATATAATATTTTCATGAAATTGTGTTGTTATAATTAATTTTCCTCATTCTAGTGAATTATTGTCGTACTTTTCCTCTTACGTAATGTAAGAATACGTGTGAATATAATATATTAGTTGGAGTTATGAAGAGAAATTATTACCCATGGATAACTGTGGATACTCGAAACCCGAACGGGTATGGGCATGGTTTTGATTTTCTATCCGTTTTACATGTGGGTATGGGTACTGGTAAAATTCGAAGTACTTTGGGTAGGATAACTGATATGCACTATCCGCCCCCGACCCGTCCCATTGCCATCATAAGACCATCTCCAATGATGGAGATAAAAAACCAAATCTTGGAGCTATTTTTTGTTTTTGTTTTTTGGCTCATTGAAGGGGTTTTTGCTGCAATGGTGATAGCTAAAAAAATTTAAAGTTCAATAGTTAGCTTTTTGTGTTAATCTCCATTAGTGTAAATTTCAACACCTTAAGTAGATTATTTATTATTAATTTTTATATGTGTAGTTATAATTAATAAAGTTGAATATTTTCATGTAATATTTTAATTTGGATATTAATTTTTTTATATGACGTCATCAATGACGAAAAACACAATAACAGGTTCAGATGGTCATAGATTCATCACATGTTTGTCAGATTGAGGTGTGTTATCAACTACTCACCCAATTTTTGTCAGATTGAGTTGTGCCATCAAATGCTCTAGTCATTCAACCTTCTTTCTTGCAAAAACCATTCAACCTTCCCTTCGTACATCTCTCTAGCCACTAAAACTCTTTTGCCTTCATGGATTCCCCTAGTAGAGAAGCTGATGAGAGACAGAGAGAAGCTGCTGATAGACAATGGGAGTATGAGTGCCAACTTGAGGGTGGACATATAGAGATGTTCCTGATGTACGCAAACCATCCTCGCCAACATCAAGCAACATTATCGTGCGGCAGTTCATCAACACAAAACTTAGTTAGACGTAAAAAGGAAGACGATCACAAACTCTTGATGCAACATTATCGTGCCAACTTCTACTATGCTATAAAGCATGGGTACTTTAATGTACAACTTAAAGTTGTACCATAACGTAAAATGTATAAGTTTGGGTTGTACCATAAATGAATTTGTACCCTTATGTTGTGAAGTTGTACCATAACATAAGGGTACAAGTTCAAGTTGTACCATAAAAGAATTTGTAAAATAGTATAGGTACAAACTGAAGTTATACCATAACGTTAAAAGTACAATTTTAAATTGTACCATAAAGACAAAAACCTATAACACCAATACTATATAATATTATAAAATTTCTCCTAAATAAAAAGGTATTTTATCTCATTAAGTTTTTTTAGCTTTGCGTGGATATGGTCCGACTCTGACCAAACGAAATCGAATTTTTATACGTACCTGTTGTATTTTACCCTGTTTCGTTTTCTTTATCCTTTATCTACCAAGTCGAGTGACACGACGCCATTGTCACTCTTTCCTCCTTTTTACTTTCCTAATGCGGGACGGGATGAGAAGGAACTCCTCGCTTGCTCTGGTCTCTCGCTCCCTCTCTCGTTGGTGCAATCGCCGGAAGGAGGAAGAAGCCGCGGTGGCTATTGCTTGCTGCGGCCGCCTATATGGCGACTTAGAGCACCAGCTAGTTTGCTAAAGCTTGGTCTCATGAACTAATGAGAGGATTGAGCTCAGTCATAGAGCGCTTTGCCTCTGCTTATGCTTTGTCCCGCGCTTCGACAACGCATTGTCAGGTCATCAAAGTTGGAACACTTTCCGATATCTATACGGCCAACAACCTTTTGAACCGTTACGTGCGTTGTCGCTCTTGTGGTCTTGATGTTGCTTGCAAACTGTTCGAGGAAATGCCCCAAAGAGATGCTGTTACTTGGAACACTATGATTACTGGGTACGTGAATTCTGGGAACTTGAAAACTGCTTGGGAGGTTCAAATTTATAAGGGGAGATGTGGGTTCTATGCAGACTTGTACAACTTTGGCAGTCTACTAAAGGGTGTTGCTCTTGCTGGCTGGATTGAAGCTGGAGAGCAACTGCATTCCCTGATTGTTAAGATGGGTTTTGAGGAGAGTGTCTATGCAGGAAGTGCCCTCCTGGATATGTATGCCAAGTGTGGGAGAGTTGACGATGCTCTTATCGTGTTCCAGGACATGCCTCAGCGCAACTCCGTATCATGGAATGCCATAATTTCTGGGTTTGTAAAGCTTGGGGACCGTGGCACTGCATTTTGGCTGTTTGGTTGCATGGAGAAGCAAGGCGTGAGCCACGATGATGGATCTTTGTCTCCTCTTCTCACGTTACTTGATGATGCAGACTTTTATAAGTCAACAATGCAGCTTCACTGTAAGTCCATAAAATGTGGGGTGGAATTTGAGAACACCGTGTGCAATGCAACAATCACTGCTTATTCTGAATGTGGTTCCTTGGAGGATGCGGAAAGACTGTTTGATGGTGCAGTTTTTTCTCAGGATACAGTCACATGGAATTCAATGCTGGGAGCATACCTTGCCCATGACAAAGAGGAGGCTGCATATGGACTTTTCATGGAGATGCAAGAGCTTGGGTTTGAGCCTGACATATATACTTATACCAGCATTTTAAGTGCTTGTTCTGAACGAACACTTCATCTTGGAAAATCTCTCTATGGATTGGTGATTAAGAAAGGGCTCCAACATTCTGTGCCTATCTGCAATGCAGTAATGGCCATGTACATCAGTTGCAATGATAAACTAATGCAGGATGCATTGGCTGTATTCCAATCTATGGAATCCAAGGATCGGGTCTCTTGGAACTCCATTTTAACTGGATTTTCACAAAGCGGGCTAAGTGAGGACGCCTTGAAATTCTTTAAGCATATGAGATCCTTGCTGGACACTGATCATTATTCTTTCTCAGCTGCCCTTAGGTCTTGCTCGGATCTAGCCACTCTGCAATTAGGGCAACAGATTCATGCTTTGACAGTCAAATCAGGTTTGCAGTCAAACAATTTCGTTGCTAGTGCATTAATTTTTATGTATTCTAAATGTGGAATGCTAGAAGATGCTAAAAAATCTTTTGATGAGACCACGAAAGACGTATCAATCACCTGGAACTCAATATTGTTTGCATATGCTCAACATGGCCAGGCTAATGTCGCTCTAGACCTCTTCTCTGAGATGAGAGAGAGAAAAGTGAAGTTGGATCATATATCATTTGTTGCAGTCCTGACTGCATGCAGCCACATTGGATTAGTAGACCAAGGCCGTCATTTCCTAAAAACCATGGCATCGGACTATGGGATTCCACTTCGGATGGAGCACTATGCCTGTGCAATAGATCTCTTAGGCCGAGCTGGACATCTAAATGAGGCAAAGCTGTTAATTGAATCAATGCCTCACAAACCAGATGCAATGGTGTGGAAAACTCTGCTGGCTGCTTGCAGAGCTTGTGGTGATCTGGACCTAGCTACGCAAGTGGCGAGCCATCTGCTTGAACTGGAACCAGGTGAGCATTGTAGTTATGTCATTTTGTCAAACATGTATGCACGTCTTGGGAAGTGGGATAAGAAAGCCAGTCTAACGAGGCTAATGAAGGAACGGAAAGTGAAGAAGGTTCCTGGTTGGAGTTGGATTGAGGTTAACAATGAGGTTCATTCTTTCATCGCTGATGATCGGTCTAGTACACATTGTCAGGAGATATACAGGAAATTGAATGAACTTATGGAAGAAATGAAGTGGTTGGAATCTGTTGTTGGTACTACTTTCGATTGGTCACCTGATGCGTTGATGGAGATCTACAACGAGTAATAGCTGGAGGTGGTAAGTTTGTGACGTTTGGTATCGAGGACTCATCTGCAACGTATGTATGAGTGAGGGATGTCTCTTTGGAATCAGCTTATGCAGCAGAGTAATGTTAGTTAACCATCTTTTACAACCTGGAATTAGTCTATACATTCAGGAGAGGTAGAGGTGGCAATTCTCAATCCAATCCACCAATCATATCTACCAATCCATTAAAAATATCCAACTAATCCAATCCATTTAAATCCAATCCATTTGATCCAAATTCAATTGAATTGGTGGATTCATGGAATGATACATGGATCCAAGTGGTAAATTACGGTCTGATACTTATGCTTTTTATATTTTACATTTTGCTATCTCAATTTTCATTTTTATATGAAAAATATCATTGGAAAATTATGTTTTGGTACCTAATTTTTTTTATTATTACATTTTAGTACCTACATTTTTCGCATTTTACATATTAGTCCAAGGTTGAGAATGTTATTTGGATTCATGGATAATCCACCAATCCACTTGATCAAATCCATGAATCCACCAATCCGTTGGATCCATGGATCAAATCCATTTGTCACCTCTACATTCAGGAGATTTATCCAATTTTAAAATTCAGAGGATCAATTTTTTTTCCTAAATACACACGTTCTTAAATTTTTTTGACCCATCCCCGCTTGTCAAATACGGTGAATAAGTCATCCCTGATGTGTAACGCGGTGAGGCGTCAGATTTGGGAAGGAAATCAAAATCCGCGTCTCACCCCATTCGACGGCTGCAGTTTACGGGCGGGACGACGCGGATCGCTGACATGGACAACGACGTATTCACTATCATTGAGAAACACAGTGAATACAGTGCGGTCCATGTCAGAGATCTGCGTGTCACCACCCTTTAACCGCGCCTGTCGGATGCAGTGAGGCGCAGATTCTGTTTTTCCTCCCAGATCTGATGTCTCATAGCGTCCCACGTCAGCAATCCGCTCGCATCATCGTCTTTGACAAACACAATATCTTCACTGCAATCGATGGTCACGGTGACTTCACTGTCTCTCTCTCCAACGATTTCCTCCTCCTATAAATTTAGTCTTCCCTCCCCATTTCAACCACACTTCACAATTCTTTCTCCCTCGCTTCCCCCACTCCAGGAATTCCAATTACTATATGTGGTTTCTGTTAAGGTCGATCCTCTACAACCTAATAAATTTTTTGAGTTATTTCCTACTACCCTCCGCTCTTAAAACCAGTTGAACCTCCGTCTTGCCATGTCAGAAACACATTTATTTGGGGGTTCTATTATTATATTAGGTAGGATAATTATAATTATGGTTAGTAGAGATTTAGTCGTATTAGGATTATTATTAGGGTTTCCAGTATTTCCCTATAAATATGTACCTTGAGTTTACGTCATAATCAATCAAGAACAATATTAAGAAGAATCTCTCCTAAACCCTAATCTCTCCTCTCAACTCCTAATTTCTATCCTCTCCTAATTCAAGGCCTCGGCCGATTCCCAATTCTATTATGTTCTTCTCATCTAAATCCCTAATCTCAACGCTAATTTCCAATCTCACGGGTGCCGAAGATTAGTATCGAGAATCCCTACAAGCGGGGTTCTCATTATTGGTATCAGAGCCCGGTTGTGGCCCTCGTACCATGATTTCGCCCAACTTCGAGCTGTCAATCATCGAACTCACAAAGATGTTGAAGTTGAAGCTAGAAGAGGTGTGGAAGAACGAGGGTACCTCGTCCTTGCCGTTGTCCGGGAACATCGAACGAGATGTTCCACTTAAAGCCGCAACCATCGCATCAGAAGAGCCGATGAAGGAGGACGCACTGCTATTGTCAAAGGTCACAGCTGCCGATATGGATTTCGAAGATTGGTTGGGATAGCCTGCGTTCCCAATCATGCTCGAACAAGATGGAACAATCTCGGGAGCAAGCCGGGAGACACCAATCACCGAAGAGACGATTGAGCTGGTCAGCGTTAGAGCTTCGTCCTGCTCGCAAGCATTCGACGGTGCTTCCGTCAAAATCATCGTAACTGGGGCCAGGTCTGCTTCGACCACAGCTGCTCCCGCACGAGATGACGCTGCATCTTCAATTGTCGTAGCCACGCCAGCTTCCAATTCCCACGACCTCGCGAGGATGGAGGCTGATAGCGTTGCCATTGGAAAATTGGAGGCTGTGGGAAGGGGGCCGATAAATCTGCTTCCACCTAATTGGAAGCTGTCAAAACGACGGAAGGAGGTAGAGCCAAAGATGAGGGCGGAGTCGGATATGTGTCGTCTGATTGATTGCTCACCGCCGTCGAAGAAAGAGGCGAAGGAATCGTCCAACACGGTGGCGGAAGGGATGGTCGCCGGCCCAAGCTTGCCTCTTCGCCGTGAGATTGGCTGTTGGCTGGAGGCGGAGACGAGAGGAAACCCTCAGCGGAGAGGAAGGAGGAGGGCGAAGTTGGCAGCGATCGCTGACGCGAAGCAACGAAGGAGCAGGGTCGTTGAGAATCTCCACCGACGGCGCGAATCGCGTGGGAGGCGCGACGGCCGGCGATCAGCGGGTCAGCTTCGAGCGCTCGATTGATGGCGGCTTCCGTGGAGTCGTCGATCGGCGAGGAGGCAACCTCGAAGACGGGGCCGGGTGCGGGCTGTTGTCCATGCCGCCGGATGGTTGAGATGCCGGAGAAGGAGTGGGGTGACTCGTCGCCGAAGAACGAGGAGAAGCGGGTGCCGTCGAGGAGAGAGGAAGCGACAGAGGATTGTCCGATGGAGAAGGAGTGCAGCGGCGGCGTTGTGCGAAGACGAGAAGACGAAGCGGAGTGGAAGACGGCGGCGGGTTGCGGCTGGCCGCTGTGCCGCGGGAGAGCCGGTTCGTCGACGAGGAAAGAAGAGGAAGCGAGGAAGACGGTGGGTGGCGACCGCGTTCCTTCTCTCGGAAATCCTAGGGTTGGAGGATTGGCCCAAAGACCACCACAACAGCTGTTGTTTCTTCTGTTGGGCCGAAATACTTGGACTGTGGGCCTGGTTGAGTTAGAAGGAGCAGTCTGGGAAGAGGCGAAGATGTTTGCTGGGCTGGAGCAACAAAGCGGGCCGAGTCAAGGTAGACTTGGGCAACTAATTTGCTCTCTTATTGGATCTACTTTCCAGGAAAGGATTGAGCCCAATATGGATTGTGTTTTAAAGAAGGTGGGCTTAGAGGAAAAAGAAGAGGAGTCTAAAAGTTTAGTTGGTGGACTTCCAAAGGAGCCAGGCCCCAAGGAATTTAAAGATAAGTGGATTAATGAGAGACTTGACCTTGGGTTGGGCCATACCCCTCTCTTCCAAATCAAGGTGGGTCGAATCCAAGGTGTAGGAAAAGAAGGTTGGGAGAAGCTATGGGCAGAATCAATGGAGCAATTCCTTGAATATTACAAGGTGGTTAATGATGAGCACAAGGAACTCTCCGACTCTTATTTTGTGGACTTTGAAATAGAATTGTTTAGTTATGGTGATCGTGACACGTGTCACGTGGGCGAAGAAGAGATGAGGAGAGTTGGAGTTGCGCGAGACGAGTTAATTAGCGAGTTGGAGCGCAACTGGAAACGAAGAAAGCGGAAGGTCAAAGAGGTAGAAGTCAACTACAACCTTGAGGTCAAGGTTGTTTTCAAGGTAGATGGATTGTCAGAAACACATTTGTTTGGGTTTCTATTATTATATTAGGTAGGATAATTATAATTATGGTTAGTAGAGATTTAGTCGTATTAGGATTATTATTAGAGTTTCCAGTATTTCCCTCTAAATATGTACCTTGGGTTTATGTCATAATCAATCCAGAACAATATTAAGAAGAATCTCTCCTGAACCTTAATCTCTCCTCTCAACTCCTAATTTCTATCCTCTCCTAATCCAAGACTTCGGCAGATTCCCAATTCTATTATGTTCTTCTCATATAAATCGCTAATCTCAACCCTAATTCCCAATCTCACGTGTGTCGAAAATCACTATCGAGAATCCCTAGAAGCGGGGTTCTCACATGCAACTGCCAAAAAATGGACGAAGAGACTCTTAGGGTACCTACTTGCTTTTACGTTTGTGATTTATTTTTTTGTAATCAAAATAATCTGATTTCATTCAAAAAAAAAAATATAGATGGGTGTCGCGATATACGATCCTCGATTATATATTGATCCTTGACTAAGGGATGCGAGGTATTTAACCGAGCAAGCAACACATCACTCTCGTGCAATTTTGCACAACAATCCGGTCGGCATGCCGTACCGTCTAAAACTTTAATTTTCAGTATTTTGAAACTTTGTATTTTGCTTTCCTTTCACTAAGTCATCTTGTATATAGTCACTAATTGTGGGAAAACAAAGGTCTACAAGAAATTAGTGGGCAGTCTAGATATAATCTGGACTCCCACTCCCTTAGCGACAGTAAAGCTAAGTCTAGTAAAAATGTACGTGGCCGCCCGAGACCCTGCATCCTGAGCCACGGAAATTTTTTGGACGCGCTTGAGCAAAACCACAGCATCCGTATCCAACTCTCTCAGTGAAGAGAAAGAAAAGGGCAGGAACCCGTAACCAACCGCCATACACAAGTCCCGATACTTAGCACACTTTCGGCGAGAAGCATTAGCAACAACTCGGCCTGGCATGAAATTAGTCATCCTAGTCTGAGTCAAAGGTGAAGACCCAGTCAGATCAATACACACATCTCGCCCCTATCCTTGAAATAAAGCAGCAAGTCTGCAGGAAGAAGAGGTCTGCCATGCCAATCAACCAAACCGATACCAATCTCCTTTCCGACAGAAATCCCAGACTTGTAACATATATCCAATAAGGTGTCTCGAACAAGGTTATGTCGATGCTTAATGCCCACAATACCAGCACCGTACACAACATGATCCCCAAAGACATCACCATCAAAGATACGAGAACTAGCAGAACATGGCCTATGCACCAAAAACAACGGGACACCCAGTCGATAACTGAGCACATTATGATATGTCCTTCCATTCGTAGTCTAGCCCAACCCAGCAATACAAACAGCACGCAACCAATCAGAAGAGTACGTGCTCTGCTGGGACTTCCACAAAGCAACCTGGCGCGTAGTCAACGAGAAAACAGAATCTGAAGTTGCAGCAACCTGCGCGAAATATATGTCTGCCAATTTCTTCATAAGTTTTCGGGCAGCAACTTCGCTAGGGTCACGTAAGATATCAGAACATGTAAACTCATTAATGTGCATAGGTCGTCATCAAAAGCAGGGCCATGAGAGAAAATAACAGAAGGACGTAGTAGCTTAGCCTGCAAACCTGCAGACTGCATACGAGATGCCAAAAAAGCATAGTGCAGGACATCTCCAGCCGCATATACCCCAAGCCAACCTAAATGAAAAGGGAAGGTGGCAACTCGTCACTGCCAATCACCGAACCCTGGCCCAGAAGCAGTGACAATACGTTCTAAACTAGAACGAGGGCTGTGTTAAAAGAGAGCTGGGTCGGCCCAAAAACACGAGGGGAGCAAGTATGCAAAGCTAGAGTTTTGAAATACCAGTGCAAGCCCGAAGCAAAAGCAACTCACATTGTGGATCATCAATCCTCGCAACCAAGTCCATCAGCTCGACGATCCTGGTAACTCTCTTCGCCATGAGGTCAATGCTAAAATCAGGAAAAGTACTGACAGACTCACCCAGAACAGTGACACCATGAGAAGGTCGGGCATAGTGGCTGGAAAAACACCTAAAATTCGACTCCTAGGATCCTCAGTAGGCCAAAAAATCTCTGTCTTATCCATATTTAGGTGAAGCCCAAAACGAGGGCCCTCATCCATAATCATGTCTAAGACTTTCCCTACAACCAAAGTATCCCCCACAATAGTGCCATCATCCAAGTACCAGGCTTGCAAACTCAGGTCAAAAGAGTCTCTAATCTTGCACACTAGAGGATGCAACACCAAAGCAAAAAGCAGAGGGCCCAAAGGATCCCCCTGCTGAACCCCCTAGTAAGACAATAAGTTATGCTTCCCATAATACAGTCGGGCAGGGGTAGAGTAACAAAACTCTACCCATTGGGAAAGAACTGGGCACCTACGTCGAACTTCCCGAAGCATGGACCCACGATCAACTAAATTGAAAGCATTCTGAAAATCGACCACCAACATAGAAAGACCAACGTCAGCACCACGGGTCTCATCTAGCCGGTTCAAGGCATGCAAAATAGACTCCTTCACCAGAAATGCCACCCTCAAACGGAAGACCATCAAAATAGCCAGATAAAGAAGGGCCAACCAGACAAGCACCAACTTTAGAGACAAGACGTCTCCAAATAGTGCCAGCAGCTATAGGACGGATACCACCCCTTGGCTTAACAAGCGGCGTAAGCGGAGCGCTAACAATGTACTCACTAAGGATATGCGGGCATCGACCCTCAAGGAAAAGATAAACCACCCGAGTAATAGAGGCGACCAAATCATCCGAGCTAGCAACAGTAGCTCCACCCAGACAATCCATAAGATGTTGAGCCCGAAAACCATCCCTCCCACAAGGCGTACCACGAGGGAAGCTCCTAATCATATCCAAAATAGTAGTTGAAGAGGCAACAAGAGGATGATGATCCAAATGTAAAGTCGAAAGAGAAGGATATGGGGCGACGAGATGCTTATCTGGCAGAGCTACACGAGTGGCATCAGAATAAGGGGCAATGCCGGATGAAGAAAGCATCCATAGAGGGAATTACTCATTCCCATCACCCATAGAGGGACTTCACGCTTACCCAGATTACATGACTGACTCGGGCCGTATCTAGAGAGGACGGGTTTGGAAATGATGAGACACTTCATGCTGATTGAGATCGACAATGATTTGTTAACGACAATGTCAGAGAGGTGGTACCCTGAATTACAGACCTTCCACTTTCTCGAGGGGGAAATGACAATCACTATCAGAGACATTGCCATCCTCATCGTCTACCGATCATCGGAAATGCCATCATGGCCACTCGGGAGTTCCTAAAGAAGGCTGCGGGCCCCTGATTAGGGAACGTTTGGATGACAATTTCTTCTGCCATTCACATACCTAACATGCATATATGAAATAATGCACTAGAGGATACGAATTTTCATTAGTAGCAATCATAAAATAGAAAGATAACTATACAAAGGAAACTAAAATTTATTATGGCGGCGGTCTGTAGATAGAGGATCAGATGGTCATTGGAGTTGGTAGAATTTAAAGCTATCGTCTTCAACATTCAGCCGGCGGAGATGCATGGTCTGACCTCTGTTATCATCGAAACAGATTGTCAGAGTGCATTTTTCGCTCTGCAGAAAACGGAGAAGACAAGATTGGAAGCTGGACGGCTGATCAGGGAACTGAAGGTCGAAGCAGCTCGGTTTGGCTCGATCCAGTGGCATTTTGTGAAAAGAGAATGTAATGGAGCTGCCCATCTTTTGGCCTACATTAAGTGTAACTGGGATGCCCAAAAACAATTGATGGGTTCTAGACCTCCCCCAGTCTTTCTTCTCCCTTTTTTGGACAAAGAGCCCACGAGGCCTTAATAAAATGCAGATGTTTTACTTAAAAAAAGAAGAGCAAATATGTTATAGGTTTGCATCTAATTAACCAAAAAGATGGTTGCCATTGGATACATCTTTTATCATCCAGAACAAAGGAAAAACAAAGTGTGCCCAAGAGACAGAGATGTGAGTCATAAACATGTTGCAGCCACTAAACATAAATGGAAAGGAAGACAAAGGAAAAGTAACGGAGCAAGATATGAGTCGAATACTTCTAATTCTCCGAGCATAACAACTCAAAGTAAACAAAGGGAACTGTGAAAAAAGGGATGATCCGTCATCAATCATCAATAACAGAAGACGAGTCGGAGTGACATATAAGAGAAATGGAGGCTAAGAGCATATCTAGTGATTCTTAGTTTGGTGTCCATCTTCCCTTTAACCTAAGTAATTGAAAATAAAAAAAATGGCAATTAGAGGTACGGAGAATCGAAAAAAGGGATATATTGCAATCAATGCTAAGTTTATTGAGAAGCTAATGAAGGTATGAAAAAGGAAAAGGGAAGATCAATCACAGAATTGGGAAGGCAAAATGGTTGTTGAGAATTAAAAAGGGAAGCGTTCAGGGCCTTTGAGTTTTCAGTTTTCACGAATAGGTGGAAATGAGAATTGTGGCTAAGATGATTATGATGTGTTGTATGGTAGGGTACTATGCGTGCAGATGAACAAGCTAGCCGGGTCAGGTCGGGACGGGTTGGAAGCTATGCTCATGTCTGTCCAGTTTTGCTCACGAGTCGGGTCAAAACTCACCTGGTCATAATAAGGTTGAGCTCTACTCATCGTCACACTATATATTGACGATGAGTAATTGTCTATGTTTTCAGCATCGGACCGGTGGCTGAAACGAAAACATTAGTGGTTTAGGGTTCAGTGGTTAACCGATAGAAAATCATTAGTAAACCGTTGATAGAACCGTTCATGATGTATGTAACATACAAGACATGTATATTACACTAATTTAAGAATGAAGTTATCATTGATTATAAACAAATTCAAATTCATATCATCATCAAAATATCTAAAAAATCATTCAAACCATCTAAAAAAAGAATTAATAATTTTTTAATTCAAGTTAAAAATTATGGTGCCAGTTGGTAGTAGACCACATAAAAACGACAACAAGATTGGAAAATGAGAAGAGGAACATTAATAATCATGGCTTGATGGTCTTAGTTTACATTAAAGTATTTTTTTTAAAAACTTTGTGGTTAAAATAGTGAAACAGTGGACCAGTTAAACCGTAGTGGTTCATCAGGTTTTATGTTCAATCGTGAAAAGTCGTTTGGTCTATCAATAATAGTTCAAGCAATGAACCAGACCGTTATCGTAAATGGTTTGAAGGTTGTACTAACCCAGCAGTTGATCTGATTCGATTATTATAAAATTGGCATTAATATAAAATTAATTTTTAAAATTACACATAAATATTTTTTTTGGTTGGAAAATTACACATAAATATTATTTAGAGCTGCAAATAACACTCCCTAATTAATCAAAAATAATTTTAGATAAGACAAAACAAATGCGGTCCATGTTTTTTTTTCTCGTGGGGATACTGTTTATTTATAATATTCGTTAATCAGAAAGAGTTAACCATGGTTACTTTTGAACTCATCTAATCTTCTTTCTGCCTCTACTTAACCACGGTCCAACTTAACGCAGTAAACGAGTTAAAGAAAGCAACAAAAAAATAAACAAAAAAACAGAAACAGAAAAAATAGCAAACCACAGCCAAGATCCCTCTCATCTCATCGCCTCTCTTCCTTCTGTTTCTTCTCCTTCTCTTCTCCCTCTCCCTTGGTCCCTGTAAGCGATATCTGGTAAATGAACTAAGGAAAGAAAGAAGGAAGCCCTTTTTCTCTCTCGTTTCCTTCTCAACTCCGTCGATTGGAAAGCTCGACTTGCTGTTTGCTTTCCGGGGAAATCTTCTTTTGTTACCGTTTGTCTGCCCCGATAATCCCTCCTGCCGAAACTGTTGGTTTCCTAGGAGATTTCGCAGCAGTTTAGAAGTTTCTGCTACTTGCTTTTGGCGGTGTGTATTGTCTCTCAATTCGGCGCTTGCCCTCTTAGTTTGGTTTGGAGTACTTGAGATCTGTTGCCAACTTTAGCGAAGAAAAAATGTGGGAGATTGGTCTTCTTGTAAGACTGAATTCGCCAGATTTCATCCTCTAGCTGCCCCTCGTTCTGCTCCGTTGGTTTCTGGGAATTTGGCCTCGTATTTGGATTTTTGAGGGATATCTATCAAATTGGAAGCTCGCCCTCCCCCTTTGAGTTTGAGGTCGAGAGTTGTTTGGTATTTGTCTCTTTCCTTTGTCCGGAAATGAAGATTGGGGTGAGCAGTACGGCGGGAGGCGGGGGGTGGAATGAAGAAGATAAAGCTGTAATTTCTGCCGTTTTGGGCACCCTAGCTTTCGATCATTTGGTAACCAACGCGGTGCCGAATGAGAATCTGTTAACCACCATGGGCAGCGACGAGAATTTGCAGAACAAGCTCTCCGATCTGGTGGAGCGGCCCAACCCTTGCAACTTCAGCTGGAACTATGCAATTTTCTGGCAGATTTCGTATTCAAAGTCCGGCGACTGGGTCCTGGGTTGGGCAGACGGGTCATGCAGGGAGCCCCGGGAAGGGGAAGCAGCCGCCTCCGAACCGGCAACCCGGCTCCTCCTGGAAGACGAAACCCAGCAGCGGATGAGGAAGCGGGTCATCCACAAGCTCCAGCAGTTGTTCGGCGGGTCGGACGATGACGACGAGTATGCCCTCGGGTTGGACCGGGTCACCGACACCGAGATGTTCTTCCTCGCCTCCATGTACTTCTCTTTCCCTCGAGGCCAAGGCGGGCCGGGCAAATGTTTCGCATCCGGAAAACACGTCTGGATCTCCGACGCCCTGAAATCGAAATCGACCCCCGATTACTGCGTTAGGTCGTTTCTCTCCAAGTCCGCCGGGATTCAGACCATCGTCCTTGTGCCGACTGATGTCGGGGTTCTCGAATTGGGATCTGTGATGCCGGTCCCTGAGAGCGTCGAATTGGTTCAGTCCCTGGCCTCTTGCTTCTCCTCTCGCCCTTCGGTTATGAGAGCTAAGCCGGTGGTTGTCCCGGTATCGGTACCTCCCGCCGCGGTGGCGAATGAGAAGAAAGACGAGATTTCAGGGTTTGCGAATTCGGGTGCGCCCAAAATATTCGGGACAGATTTGAACAATTCAAATCATTGCCTCCACCACAGCCATGGCCATCGGGAGAAATTGGCGGTGAGGAAGATGGAGGAGAGGACTCCGGCGGCATCCTCATACCACGACACCACCCGGCCACGAAATGGTTTCCATGGTTCGAACTGGGCAGCGCATAGTTTCAGCGTTAAGCAAGGAAACAACCAGGGGGAGGTACACGGTATGAAAGCAACTGCAGCAAATAACATTCAAGAGTTTGTGAATGGAGCTAGGGAAGAGTTTAGGCTTAACCATTACCCGCAGCAACAACAGAAGCAGGTGGTGCAAATGCAGATTGATTTTTCTGGTGGGCCTTCGGTCGTTGCTCGGCCTGCCTGCGCCGAGTCTGAACATTCAGATGTTGAAGCCACAGTGGGGAAAGATGATCCGCGAGCAGCAGGTGCTGATGACAAGAGGCCCAGAAAGAGGGGAAGGAAACCGGCGAACGGAAGGGAAGAACCATTGAATCATGTGGAAGCAGAGAGGCAGAGGAGAGAGAAGCTAAACCAAAGGTTCTACGCTTTGAGAGCTGTGGTGCCAAACATCTCAAAGATGGACAAGGCTTCCTTGTTGGGAGATGCCATTGCATACATAAATGAGCTTCAAGCTAAAGTGAAGCTGATGGAAGCAGAGAGGGAGAAGTTAGGGGGGAGCAGCAGCTCAAGGGAGCCGGGATCAGAGGGTAATTCCATCCGAGAAAACAATGTCATCAGCAGGGGTGTTACGGATGTGGAAGTTCAAGCTTCCTCCCACGATGAGGTGATTGTGAGGGTGAGGTGCCCTTTGGATTCGCATCCAGCGTCGAGGGTGATCCAATTGTTCAAGGAGGCACAGATCAATGTGATAGAGTCTAAACTGGCTGCAGGGAATGATATGGTGTTCCACACATTTGTGATCAAGCCAGCACAAGGGTCAGAACAGCTTACAAAGGAGCGGGTAATGGCGGTATTTTCCCATGAATCCAACACCTTGCAGCAGCCATTATCGTCTATTGGGTAGTGTTCATCGGCTACAGTCGTTGATCAAGTAGCTCGGATGGAAGGTTCAATTCTTTAACATTATGATTTAGCCCGTAGAGATGATGAATATGTAGTAGCAGTAGTAATTATGAGAACATTCTTGGCAAAGGATGTTAGTCTTTTGGTTTTATGTGTTTTTCGAAAGGGAGGTTTTATTTTTTGAGATAGCACTGGCAAGTGATCCATAGGAATGAATGAAGAAAGGGTTGGGAAGAGAGTAGGAAAAGGGAAATGACTATTTTAGTTGGTCAAGAGAAAAGTGCACTCCCAATGTTTATAGTGTATACATAGTTTCTTCTGTCTGTCATAAGGAAGAGGAAGAGGAAGAAATGAAGAAAAGAATGCAAGGGAAAGAAAGTGCATATCGTTCCCTTCTTTTCTCCTCCTTTCCTTTAATGGACTGAACTCTGTTAACTCCTACTGTTATATGTTGGTACTAGTCCCGTTTTGTTGATTCTTTAATTCCTTGTCTAAATTCTGGGTGGAGTTTCAAAAGCACATTTCAGTTATATATTGGGATTCACATCTATCTCTTGCTGCTTGTTAAGATATCATTATTGGGATTCTTTCATACTTGCACTGGACTGGAGGAGATTTGCTGTTACTGTAAGGTAAAGTCGGTGGCAGGTAAATCTTTGGTCTTTTCTTTTCTCTCATATCATATCCAGTGCAGACAGGAAAGGAAACGAGCATCTTGGTAGAAGCGGCCAACTGCAACCACCCAACCGCGTCAAAAGATAGAAAGGACCGGGCTGCTGACTCAACAACCACAGCACCAAAATCAGAAGATCCCCAGTACACTAACCAATTACCACCGCTTCCTCTCGGCTCGCAGCAAACACTACAATATCATTAGCTTCTTTCTCCTCCCTATTGCGTGTAGTAAAACTGGGGAAAAGCACTTATCATGAAATTGTGCTGCTATCGGAGCGCGTCATCTCGGCTCGCAGCAAACACTACAAGATCACAACTCTCGTCTTTCTAGTGAGAGTTTTGGTGTGGTCCCGCATATCTCTTGTCTACTTAATAGAACTTGTTGCAAGTTTTACGAGGTTTATAGTCAGCTTCAAAAATCTTATGATCTGGTTGGGAAAACTTGTGGTCGACTTTATGTAAGTTTCCGATATGTTTCATAAATTTTGTGGTATGTTTTATGAGGTTCTTGATCATTTTTATGTCGGTTTTATGAGGTTTCCTCTGTGTTTCAGGAAACATATGATATGCTTTATATTGTTTCTTGTATGCTTTAAAAACTTGTGGTCAGTTTTGAATTATCTCATATGGTTTATGAATTTTATGGTGTAGTGATGTTCTTATATGTTTTATGACCTTCTGGTCTACTTTATGTTATGTGTAGTGTAATTTATTTTAAATATATATCCAGAACAACTTGTAGTCCGACTGATTCGCAAGCCAATGAGCTCACAATTGGAATGACCCGCAACTCAATGAACTTGTAACCTAATGAACCCAAACCTGAGTGACTTGTAACTCGATATATCTGAAATCCAACTAACGCACAACTTTTTTGAACCCAACCCGATTACACTATTATTATAGGTTGAATGGTCAGGTTGGTCTAGCGATTTTTCTTCTTCTATGGGTTGGGTTTAGGGATGGCAACAAAACCCGAACCCACGGGTACCCACCCGACCCAACGCGGGTAAAATCCGTGTTGACGGGTTTTGGGCCGGGTTCGGGTTTAAACCCGTTACACTATTCATCGAGTTGGGTTGGGTTTGGGTTTAGGTAAACCCGCCCCATGGGTACCCGCCCACACATATAATTACTTTCCCGGTATATTTAATAGTCTAAATAATATATCTTCTTTAAACAACTATTATTATTTATGTTTGTGGAGACATGTATAATTTGTTCTTTCTAATTGTTTAGAATGAAATTAATATTATGGAGTGGAGAGTGAAGATACATATTTGACGAGGAAGAAGATTTCAATTAATCTTGTTGTTTATAGATGTTTATCTTTCATTTTGAACAATTTGTATTGATCATTTGCGGTTTGCTTGTATGTTCTAGATTGTTGTTTTTTGTATGAATAATTTGTATGAAAAAATTGATGTTAAACTTTTATTTTGAAAGAAATTTGTTATTGTAAATTTTTTATCACAAAAACCCACGGGTACCCATGAACCCGCGGATACCCAACGATTGGGTTGGGTTTGAGTTTTTCAAACCCAACGAGTTTTACCCTGGGTTTTTTTTACGGATAAACCCATGGATTTGGGTTTGACAAAACCCGCCCCAACTCGACCCATTGCCATCCTAGTTGGGTTTGCTTTGCCTGGATGGAAGGGCAAGGAAGGTGATGATGTGGTGGTGAATAATAGTGCGGTGGGGGCTGTGTGGGGTTAATAATAATGCATGAGTTTCACATGCCCCTCGTGAATTTCTGTTTGAATGCGATGGGCGGATGGGGGGCCTTTTCCTCCTTCACTTTCTCCCCCTGTTTCCGTTTTTTTGTTTATTTATCGCGTTCGCGTGCGGCGTGTGTACGGTATCCCGGGGTAGTGGTGTGGATGGAAATATTGTTAGAAAATGGTATAAGATTCAACATAATTTTTTTAAAAAAAATTTAGTTATTATTGAGATCAATTGGTTTATAACATAATATTAGAGCTAGTTTGGCAAGTGATCGTGTGTTCGAATCTCCAGGACCTCTAATATTTTCAGTTGATTAAAGCACAAGGTATGATGGGTCTGTGTATATTTCAAGCCCATATATTTTTGTCATCATCACACGATTTCTCCGTTGCATATTTTTGTTTGAGGAGGTGTGTTAAAGAGTGGTATGAGACCCAACATAACTTTTTTCCAACAACTTGAGTTATTGGGACCAACTTGTTGGTTTAGGAGAGATAAGGCACAATTAAGTTGTTGTGTTGCGTCTTGCGTGGGGGGTGCAACGGAGAAATCGTGTGATGATGACTGAACTGATGGGGGGCACTGCAAAAGCACACATTCCTACATCTGCCCGTCGCATGCATTACATTTCTTTCTTCTTTTCCTTTTGAAATTCCTATGCAAATCGCCAAGAGGAGGATCAAAGAAAAAGCCCACCACTGTAAGAAGAAGAAAAACAAGTTCCTCTTTGGGCCTTCTGTTTTGTCACGCTACATTTCTTCGGTTTGACTATTCACAAATCACAACATTGAAGTTAGGGGCGGACCCGGAATGAGTTGTCCACGATAAACCTTGAAAATTAAAATTTTGTAAAACAAGTTTTGTGTAAAATTTATCTTACTGGTGATAGTATTTGATTCGAAATTATTTGACAACCATTAGATAATAGCACAACGTCTGATCTATTAGCCGACAGAGTTTGATGATGGTTATATAATTTGTATGTGTCATTTACACTAATAATGTGTGTTTTGTTTGGTATTTAACCTTGAACTATTTGGAAAAATACTCAAATTAGTTCGAATATGCTTAGAACGTATTGAAAACATGAGAAAGTCAAAATGACTAACAAAGAAATACAACTAACAATGACATATATGTTGACAAACAAAGTGTTGCCAATATAATCCGCAAATGATAACATGAGAGTTGCTTCCTATGATACATACATAATCAATATTCACCATAAAAGAAAATGATTCTACTTCGACAGAGTTCAATGTATCCATGAAATATTTATTTCAATTTTTATTTTCTTTGTTGATCATGACACGAATTATATATTGACATATAATATAGAAACATTGACATATATTTTTTTATTTCATTACCATTTTCAATGGGAATGATAGAAATGAGTTTAGCTCTTTATTCAAACAAATGTGTACAAATCATTGTCACACGATTGTTCTTTAACGTTTGGATTTATTGCTCTAGTATAAGTTTAGCATGCATATTTGATATGGTAGTGGACGAATAACTAATTTTATAATATTGAACAATATATTGAACAACATCAACTTAAGGGTTGAGTATAGATTGCAATTATGGACAACTTTATTTTCTAAAATTATTCAGTTGCAACAAGACTTTAAGAACATGAATTACTTGAGTTATTTGAGTTGGCAGGGAAGAAATCAGCGCTGGAGTAATGTCGTCACCACTTGAGGATGGCGATGACACCAATGTCAAAAGTAAATAGAGCTGGCCAATGAGAAATTCTAGATCAGACGAAGATGCAAATTTTGCAAGCAGAATTGGAGAATCGCTCCAAAGTTGAACTCGAGTTGCATTTGCAGACTAATTTTCGAAAATCTGGTGGTTGACGTCTTTAAAGAGCTTAAATAAATGACGGTGAAACATTAATACAAAGAATAATTGTCAATGCTAATTAACTCGCACCACAAAATTAAAGGAACTCAAATTTCACCTAATTGGCTATCAAATCAATTCCAAACTCTCCCACTTATATTAATATGCAGAACTCTACCCCGTTTAACTATTCAGTTGCCACATATACTAATGTTATCAATACATTCATTTGTATGAACTCATGTGGCAACTAAGAATAATATAGTCACCATCATGTTTACTTGGTATACCAACTAACTAAATGTGTTTTTCTTATCCCAAAAATCCCCCCCCCCAATTGAGGAGAAAGATAAATTAACTCTGATACATAAAGTAGCAGGACCAGAACTCGATGTAGACTATGAACCAACAAAAAGAAGAATGCATTTGAGCTCTTGTTCAGGTTTTTCCTTACCACCGTCATGTTTACTTGGTCTCGCAACTAAATGAATGTGTTGGTCAATTCCATATCTCAAATTAACAAGCACTTTAACCAATCTAGCTATACCCAAGTTTTAATGGAAAGTTTGTTAACAATCATTCACAATCAACAACAAAAAAGTTCGTTGACCAACCTCGCCATACCCGTCCCTAAGCCAACTAGAGGTAGGGAAATGATTTTGTGAGGACACAGAGGCTTTATATTGTGAAGGCACAATTTACCGAGAATAAACATTTGGTGCTATGATCTTCATATTGTGAAGACAC